GTAATTGGAAGTAATTTTGTATGCTTACACATTATCACATACATATGTACATTATATGTATATATATATTTTAATGTAGCAAAGTGCTGTTTGACTGAACAGAGACTGATAGAGAGACAGAGAGAAAGAGAAAAGGAGGGAGTGGTAGTGAGGGCATACGGAGTAATGGTTATGGCTGCCAAGAACGATAAAAGATCATGGCAGAGAGAGAGAGAGAGAGAGAGAGAGAGAGAGAGAGAGAGAGAGAGAGAGAGAGAGAGAGAGAGAGAGAAATCCTACACACTCCTTTCTTTCTAAAGAGGGTAAAAGGAAAAAAGGGGGCACATAAAGGAATGAAAAGAGGAGAGGGGGGAATGTAAGGTGGGGATGAGAAGCAGAAAAAGAATGAAAGAGTGAAACAGTGAGAGAGAGAGATAGAGAGAGAGAAAATGTGAGTGAGAGAAGAATGAAGCGGCGAGCAGGGGAAGAGAGGAGAGGGCCGAGCGGCCCCATTCAGAGACCACCGGAGAGCCACAGAGAGAGTGACACGCTGCACAGAGTGAATGGCACTTCATCACTCACTCACACACTGTGACAGGGTGAGTTAAATGGGACGGTGACGAGCGAACAAAAGCGAATCGGTACTTTATCAACAGGGTTATAGTCTCCATCCCAGTCACACACACTCACACACAAGGTGACAGGCAGAGTGAACAGTACTTCATCTGTGTGATGAACTCTGGCTTGTGATGGTCACACTAACCCCGGCTTTGTTCACCGGCAGACCTGCACCGACAGCTCAGCTAATTTGGGGTGGAACACACAACAAAAAACGGAACTTACTTAACTGCCCAGAGCCTCAATAAAAAGGAAAAAAAAAGAAAGCAGCCAATGTGTGAGAAATGGAGCAGCGAATGGGACCTCCTGACTAAACTGCCACAGCAAAGCGTCTTTAGAGACAGATTAATCCGTATAAAGAGTCTTTACTGAGGGCGAGATGGCAATGAAATAGGGCGACAACACAGAAAGAGAGAGGGAGGGAGAAAGATGAGGGGAAAGAGTTAAAGAAAAAAAGAAGGAGCAGAGCAAACTTTGTGCCAGTGAGGCGAGCGGTACGGTGGGCGAACGGCCAGGAGTGAGAGAGGTGTGGAGGAAAAGGAGAAACAGGTAGAGTGAAAGAGAAAGAAAGAAAATCATGAAAGTGAAGAAAAGCAAAATAAGAGAAAGAAAAAATGTTAAAACAAATAAATATATAAATAAGAAGAAGGAAAGTAAAAGAAAGAAAAAGAGGCACAGGGCTCTAGGGATTCACCTGAGTTTTAAGTTTACTATAAATTCAAAGCTGTATGGTTTCAATAGTCCTGAACAGAGAGAGAGAGAGAGAGAAAAATCAGGAGAAGGAAGGGTGAACATGAGACGAACGACATGTCATGAGTGAGATGTGGAGAGGGAGAGACACGTAGAGTAAAAGGTAGAGAGAGAGAGAGAGTATAGAGGAGAAATAATGGCAAAACAAACTAGAGAAAGAAAGTGTAGAAAAAGTGTAAAAAGAAAAAAAAAGAGGGTAAAAGTAAGAAAAAGTGAAAAAAAAAACAACAGGGCTGCAGTGCCCTAGAGATTAGTCTCAATTTCAATATTGCTTGGCATCAATATAAATGGGAGGGAGGGAGAGGGAGAGAGAGAGAGAGAGAGAGAGAGAGAGAGAGAGGGAGAGAGAGATTTGGGTGAATGATCTGTGTGTTTGTAGTGTTTGAGAGGAAGTCAGGTTAATGTGTGTCTGATTTACTCTGTGAATCAGAACCGAGTGATGGAACACCACACACACACACACACACACACACACACACACACACACACACACACACACACACACACACACATACACACACATACACACACACACATACACACTCACACTCACACTCACACTCGTATTCTCTGGTTGATCTGTTTCCTCCTGCTCAGGACAGAAGCAGCAGTGTTCAGTGCTCAGTGATTCAGTGCTGACTTTAACAGACGGAGCAGTACAGCATGCAGAGGCAGGCACAACATGAGCACGCAGCAACACATCCACTGAGTTTACTCTCTGAAACCAGAAACACAACTACACACACACACACACACACACACACACACACACACACAGAGTAGCTGTCAAATAACAGCATCACAGCTCATGCTGAAACAGAGCCATGCTCTGCTCCCAGCCACCGACGACCTTGGAGTCAACCTGCCCCGAGGCATGCACACACACACACGCGCACACACACACACACACAGACACACACACACACACACACCCCTTCAGTCCTCCCTTTCTCAAACAATACACAACTGAGGCACCCACATATACACTGTAGTCAAACTGAGCTGTATTACTGCATTTATTCAGCCTGAAAATGATTCTTTCTTGATCAATACTTTAGAGCTGGACGATTAATCGTTTTTATATAAAAACGCAATTTAAAAGCATGCAGTTTTCAAACCGCAGGTTATATTCTACGTTAATTAATACTGTCCAAGTTTTTTACCTAATAACATAGAACTCACAAACTAGCAGTGTGGCACACTATATATAGCATGCATACAGCAAGTCCTAAGAAACGGACGTGATTGTCTTCTTGCTGAAAACAGGCTTGGCGCTTTATTTACAGACAATGATTGCATTTAAATCGCAATTGCAAAATTGGTGAGAAAAATCACAATCTGATACTTTCCCCTCAAATCGTTCAGCCCTACTACTTTAGCTGTTCAGTTTTACCAATTTTACAAGGAAATGAGAGAACGAAAGAGAAAAATGAAGGGACAAGGAAGACAAAATAACTTTCAGCAAATACAGAGTCAGGGTGTAACAGATGCTGAGACAACAGGATTCAAGAATTAACAGAAAAAAGTACCTCCTTTTTTCTGTGAAAGTAGGATTAGAGCACACAGAGAGAAAGTAGAAAGACTCAGCTGTAAAGTCCAGTGATAAAAACACAGCAAGCTCCGCTATTCCACTTTTCTCTGTGGGAACGTTCGTTGGCATTTGGCTTCTTACGTAACTGTTACATCTTTCAGGACAAAGTAATTCACTTCCATTTTGTGGCATATGCCTTACTATGAAGAATGGATCCTGTGAGGGTTTATGAGAGCAAGAGTGCACACCCATGTGCTCTGTCATACATTCTTTTGGGTCTCCAGTTTTCTATTCTCATTCATAACTTTCTGTCACGTCTCTGCCTGCAATTCATTCCCACTGCTGGCTCCAATTCCTCCAACCCAACAAAGCTGAGTTTTTCTTTGCCCCCCCTGCGGCTCTGCCTGTGCCCACAGCATAAGGGTCAGATTACTCTAACCCTGGACCCCAGCAGCGGATACCTTCTTAATCACCTTATCTTCTAACACAGAGCTTCTCGACTCCAGTCCTGGGAACCTTCAGTCTGAACACACCTGATCCAGCTCATCTGCTCATTATCCAGCCATTCATGAGATGGATCTGGCGTGTTTACGCAAGGAATACGCAAAACTGTGCCGGATGGTGGAACCTTAGGACCAATGTCGAGAGAAAACCAGTGATCCAAGGGATGACAGCCGCTAGCTACATCTTGTTTGTTTAAGTATGGGGTAAGAAAACTGCATGCATATCGCTGCTGTCAGAAGAAAACCTCGTATCTCTATTTTTGTTGTTTTTCATTTTTTGATGTAATTTAAAAATGCCTGTTGCCTTTTACATTGTGTGTAAATTTCATGAAGAGTGAACCAAACAAAGCCCAAAATGACTCGGGAAAACGTCTGGTTCCACTGACTTACATTAAAAGTAAAGCAGGTTTTTTCCTTTTCCTGTAAAGTTACCATTTTGGAAATACGAGGTTTTCTTCCCACAAGAGCGATATGTGAAAAGAAAAAGTATAGATGTGAACACTTTTTTTTTTGCTTCAACACCGAAAACATCACTCTTCTGCAAAAAGTTACCAAAAAAAGTTACCAAAAAGTTGCACCAAAAACATCTTAAGTTACACAGAAAGCAGCAGAATAAAGAAAGCACTATGCCCATTGGGTAACCCCAGAAAGAAGGTTACACTTATCAACGTCTGATATATCCTTTGAGTCATAATACTCAGGAAACCTCCTGGGCTGATGATGATAAGCTACCACTTTATCTTCACTATACTTGAGATATTACTGCAAGCAAACTGCTGTGGACAGAGCAGGCCAGGTCAGGCTTTCAGAGCTCTGGTCATGGTGTACCACCTGTACCACCATAATCAGCTAATAAATAAGCCCTTCTGGAGCTGAAGTGGGTGTGCTGAAAACAGGAAAAAACATTCAACTATGCAAAGCATGGTTACTCCAAGACCTGGATTGGGACCAGACACTCATTGTGGACTGAGATGGGGGTGGTGAAGTTCTCATGTGTTCTACATGGACTGAGGCAAACAGTTCACTCAGACCTAACAGACAGCCAATAGTAGTATATGGTTTTCAACAGACTTCATTTACATATGGCAGATTTTTATATTTAATGCAAAAGTAAGTGGACACTAGATATAAACTCAAGTCAGAAACATGCTCCGAATACTTTTTATTAACACCAAAGTGTCAAGAACCGAACACCAACAAGTACTGGTGGACATCTAAATAGACTACACTATGCTTACTAGAGTATTCTCTCAATGGACAATTTATAATACTGTAAAACGACCATTTGAAAGTATTTTAGTGCAAAATGAATAAAAAGCTTTGTCGTTCAGGATTTATGTGCATCTCATGTAATCTGATGTCCATATCACTGTCAATGAAAGCTACACTAAACTGCACTACTAGGACTTAAGCATCTCCCTGATGAGACTGAACTGTAGTACACTACGTGGGGTTTCAAAGTCCTGCTCCAGCCTACAAATCATGAGTGAGTGAGTGAGTGCGTGCGTGCGTGCGTGCGTGTGTGTGTGTGTGTGTGTGTGTGTGTGTGTGTGTGTGTGCTACCACAGAACATGCTGAAAGTTGTTTCGAAAAGAAAAAAAAAATGAAATGTGACTTACTTTGGGTTTGAGCTATTCCAGAAAACGCTGTGTCTCTCGGCTGAGGAGAGCCAAGCGCAGGCGCTCACTACGATGCAGGGAAGCCACAGCGAGTCCATGACGGAGACTTCGTAAGCCAAAACTCAATGAGAAAAAAAGAAAATAAGAGTAAAAATGAAATACAAAGTGTCAGCTACTTCCCGTGCAGCTGTGCCAGTAGTTTTCGGTTAGCCTATCTGCAACTCCAACAATGTTTTCATTCGCGTTAATGTCAGCAGTTCCGCATAAACTCGTTACACAGCAGCTCTGCTAGTGAATGAAGTGCTGCGGCGCGAGTTAGTTTTGTTGAAAAGCTGTCGATAAGGCCACGCCCCCCCGGCGCACGCAGCCAATCAGAGCTCGCTTCCACTGCCCCACGCCACAGAGAGCTTTGTCGCCCTCTACGGTTCAGTCGCGTATGAACAGTAAATGGGGGCGAAGAGAAGGATTAACGAAGACTAGACTTCTTTCACAAATGTACAGTTTTAAGCAGATAAAGTATTTATCGTTCGGACTTGTTTTCTGGAAAAATAATGTTCAGTGCTTTAAAAAACCCACTCGTCCACCTGTTTCTTCCAAAGTATATTGTTAAATGTTTTGCGCGTGCGGCTAAACAAAATTTCGGTTTGCTCCTTATTGGTCAAACAGCGCACTGTTTCACTAGTTGGGTGTATACGTCATTATTTCGTCATAATATGACTTGTAGGGCAATAAATAGGGATAAATATATGACGATATTGTATCGCTATTGTGATTAAATTATGTCACAATATGCTTTTCTGAGTATTCCATTTCGAAGTGAGCATAATTAGGCCTTTTTAATTGGATCTAGTGCAATGCAGTTTGGAAAACATTGAATAAAGTCACAGAACTTATAGGTTTATTATTATTATTATTATTATTATTATTATTATTATTATTATTATTATGTTCCAACTAATTTAATCTTAGAAAAACTAAATATCATCATGCACATCGTCTATTGTTTAGTATTGTGCTATAATTTTTTTGCCACATCGCCCACCCCTACACTGAATGTTGTTTCACAGTTGATGGGGCTATTTAGTTTTGGCAACAAGCTGTGTCTGCTTTCATCATCCCTCAATCCACAAACAGGTCCACTGCTGACGAAGGACAAACTTGCCACCTTGATCATAAGCCACTCTTGAATCTAGGTGGGAGTTAATAGCCCAGGCTAAATCTAATTACCACCGCCTTACAAGAGTTATCGCCTTACATTTACACAGCTAATTGATTAAGCATGTGTAGATGATAAGGCCAAATGAGTTAAGCATCCAGTACACAATGCTTTGTGTGCGTCTTGAATTAGGGCTCATGACGTTCTTTCAGCAAAACTGGTATTTGATAAATCTGTGTCTGTCTGGCTGTTTCCATATAGCTAGCTTTTCCACAAGGCCACGAGCTACTGTCACGATGACTTTTAGCACATTAACAGTCCTCTGGTATTTCCTCCGTAGGTAACGTCCTCAGGATCCTGAAGGCTATCTTGCTGTCTGTTTGTTTTTTGGCACGTTAGAAGCCCCCTGTCCCCTTCCCTCCCCCTCTCTTCACACAGACAGACAGGCATACACACACTCGCTCACTCACCCACCACTACACACACTTTAAAAGGATTGGTTGTGTATTGGTGGGTGTGAGTTGAGTCAGCAGTGTTTTTAATGCACTCTGGAGATCAGAGCTGCCCATGCTCTCCCATCAGTCGTCATGGGTTTCGCAATACAACAGACCCTGGAACAGGGTTTTAATCTCACTGGCCTTCCACTGTTGTCTGTCACTTGCCCCTTGAATAAGATGTTGCCCATACGTTTTGATGAAACAATGTTACATAAAAGTTGCCCCAGTGCTGGGGTAGCGTATAGAACCCTTTAATTGCTGAGAAGAACCATAGCTAGCAAATGGAACTTCTAGCAACTTTATCATAGAAACCAGTGCAATTGTATTTGTTTCACTATAATTGTTATGCAAATCAGGTGATGCATAAATGTAGACGTACCTTGATCTTGTGAAGATAAAATGGATACATGAGTTGATATCTGGATATCTGCTCATGTTCCTCAAAATGTGACATGGTGATTAGGATCATGTAGGTTTGGCCAAGATATAACAACACTTAAAGACACGATACACATCACAATGTGCATATAGTGCCACATTTAAAAAGTCATCAAAAAATCTGGGCACAGTGATTTTCATTCAACATTTCACACATATGTGAAATATGACTAATTATGCTCTTATTTTAACAAAAATTGCATTTGATCAATGCTCTTTAAGTATGATCAATATCCACGATATTGCTTATCACAATAACATACTGTATCAGGACAGCCGTAAAATATTATCATATTGCCCACCTTTAGAATCATGAGAACAGTACCTGTAGAGGCAGGACTGTTGATGTACCAAAAGCTGTTGTGACAGTAGCTTACAACCCTGTGGAAATACTAGATTTATAGATTGGCTTTCTCTTTTTGCCTCTCGTATCTACATACATATACAGTCATAACTGATAATTTGACTGAAGGCCTTGCTAATACACCTACTTGCCTGGTAGATTGGTTTTATTCCCTGATCTTCAGATTCACTAAGACTGCACTACAGACCATCACTAGTATCCAACTGGAGAGTCTAGATAAATGCCTAATGTGCTAATCTGACTGGCTACAGTCAAACAAATTCCACCAAATTCAATTTCTCAGGCCATTCCCTCCAACGCAACAGAAGCCAAGAGCTCCTAGATGGCTTTAATGGGCAGCTGTTGTGGACTTGGCTGTCTTATTTAAAATGGCAGTATAGAGAAAAAGCAAGTAAAGCCTAAGATAATCAATAGTTAGCAAAAGTACCGCCAAAAAAGTGCTGATAATTGGTCAATCTGAAGTTCAAAATTACCTTTGCCTTACCTTGTCAGTACATGTGGCTGGTCATATTAAACACAGTTCATCATATCATATCATTTAAAATACAAACTAATTGTTTTCTCATAATCTTTCATGAAAATGCCAAGACTTCTGCATGCCTCATCAAGAATTTGATGTAGTACATGAATGTTGTTAACATTGCAAAATATCCTATTCACACCCCTGCCCATGCAAACTATGCTGCAAAAATTGCGTGATTTTAATTCATTGTTTTTGTGATGTCATGAGAACCAACACATTTACATATATTCCCCTTTTCAGCCCACAGCAGTCTAGGACCACCCATTCACACTTAAGTTATAAGAAATGTTTCATCTTAGACGGCTCACAACAGAGCAGAGCTCTGGTTACATATATCAGTCTTAAAGGCACACTAACAAAAACAGATGATTTAATTTGAAGGGATATAGAAAGGTTGGAAAATCTTCCTGTAGAAATGAATTCATGACCCAAAACATTAAAGGTTGACTTAAAGGGAATAGTTAAATACAAGGAAAATGTACGATATGGGCCCTTTAATGTGAGAACCCAGAAAAAAGCAACTGGGGGTAATATATACTAACAGGCCCATTTTAGCAATTATATATTCAAATTACAACAGTATAGACTGAAACTCAATAATATTAAATGATTCTGAGAAGATCAGAATATGAATGAAACCTTTATACAGCTTCCAATAAATGTGTCTCTATTAGGTAAGAATCTCATTTTTCAAAGCAATTTGAACTGAACTGATAGCCCAAAGCCTTTTACAGTTAAAGCTGGATATGGCACCCACACCCATATTATTGGCCTTTTAGACTGTAAATCACAGTGAGCATGTCATATTACCTCATACATCAATTTCCCAAACCATAAACATAATAGCACAGCACATGCACTGAATGGCAGCCAGATTTTAATAACAAGGTGTTTGTGTTCTTGTAGCATTTTGTGAACAATTATACCCTTAAGTCGAAAATAAATGTAGCAGATCTTCTCTGACAAGCAGTATCAGTCAAACTTATCAACATATCAATCAAAAAACAATAAAAAATTTGAAACATAGCATATAGTATGTATCCATTCCAGGTATTAGAACAGTGAACTCAAATACACTGTATAGCCAAAAGTATATGGACACCTTACCCTCACAACTAAATGGACTTGTATTGAAATCCCATTCCAGGACCATGGGCATTAATTTGAAATTGGCCCCCTTGATGTGACTATAAGAGCCTTCCTTCACAGGAGTTTGGAGTATGTCTGTGGGAATTTATGCTTCTTTAGTCAAAAGAGCACTTGTGAGGTCAGGCACTGATTGCTCACAATTAACATTCTAGTTCATCCTAAAGGTGTTCAGTGAGGTTGAGGTCAGGGTTCTGTGCAGGTCACTGGAGTTTAAACCCGAGGCTAAACCCTGAAAAACAGTCCCAGTCCATTATCCCTCCTCCACCAAACTTTACTGTTAGCACTATGCATTCCAGTGGGTAGCGTTCTACTGGCATCCACCAAACCCAGATTCATCAATCAGGCTGCCAGATAGTGAAGCGTGATTCATCTCTCCAGACAAAACGTTTCCACTGCTCCAGAGTCCAGTGGTGGCGTGCTTTACACCACTTCAGCTGACTCTTGGCATTGAGTATAGTGGTCTTAGGCTAATTTCCAGCTGCTCAGCCATGGAAACCCATTTCATGAGGCTTTCAACACGCAGTTCTTGTGCTGACGTTGCTTCCAGAGGCAGTTTGGAACTCTGTAGTGAAAGATGCAACAGAGGATAGCTATGCACTTTAGAACTCGGCAGCCCCGCTCTGTGAGTTGGTCCACTGCTTTGAGACTGAGCTGTTGTTGCTCCTAGATCCTTGCATTTCACAATAATAGCATGTACAATTGACCGGGTAAGGTCTAGCACAGCAGAAATTTAAAGAACTGACTTGTAGCGAAGGTGCATCCTATGACAGTGCCATGTTTAAAGTCACTGAGCTCTTCAGTATGACCCATTGCACTGCCACTGTTTGTCTATGGAGATTACAAGGCTATATTCTTGATTTTATGTAACTGTTAGCAATCGGTGTAGTTGAAATACCTGAACTCAATAATTAAAAGGGGTGTCCACATTATTTGGGCTATTTAGTGTATGTTATTTTTGTGGTACAGTTAGGCCTTGTGAACATAAGGCAGTGAAATTATAGTACGTTTTTATGCCCATCATAAAGTTTAACATAGGTGGCTAGAAATGTTTGAAATTGGCTAAATGCTTCCATTTGCACTGTATTGTATGCTATATATCCAAAATTATGTACACATTTCTTTTGAAATCAAGGGTATTGATAGGCACAATCATGA